AGCCCATGGACTACATAAAGTTAAGTAATTCTGATAATATTATGGGGTAAATATATATTTGATTTATAATAGTATCAATATTTAACTTGCAAAACATTAACAAAAAATAGGTGCTTAATGTAAGCTATTTTTCATTTCATTGACTCTTTTCTCTTTTTACCTGCCTACATTTTCTATTGTCTTTCTCTTGTTTGGAGCTTTAAAAGGAAAGAAAAGCAGGAGAGGAAGTAGAAAGACAAATTACAGAGGTTAGAGGAAATGTTTAGAAGGAGTTAAGGGGTCAATATCACTGTAGAGTGCCTTTAACCTTTCACACTACTCACATATTTTGATCTTAATTTCTCATTCCTTTTATGTCTTTTCATAAATATTAGACATTAAAATGTTAGAAATGCATGTTAGCTAAGCTCCCACACATACTTTCACAAAATTATGGGCCCATTTTCAAAGAATAACCCATAAGATATGTCCACCCTATCATGGACATCATGCCTGACTGTTAAATGTTTTAGTATTGCAACATTATGGTGAAAATGACATTTTCAGTAAGGTACAATGTCCCTCTTCTAAACAGGGTTATTTGTTTGCTGTCAAATTATGAATAAAATAACTATTTGATGTAAATAATTAGATTTTAAAGAAACAGATGCAGTTGGCACATAATGTTTGTTTAATTTGGCGAAAATTATGACATTTTGATGCAAATTTTCACTTGCATATTATTGCCCCCCACTTAGCTATTGATCACAACAGAGAATAAATACAGATATTTCACGTTATCATTGCATTATTATCAAAATATATCAAGATGACGGGGTGGACTTTTACATGACAGGGTGGACCAGCACACGACGGGGTGGACACAAAGAGCAGAGACACATGCAGAACACCACTGCATGACAGCAGCAGTAAAATATGAATTCATTTTTTTCTGTACCAAAACAAACCATAAACACAGAAACACTCTCAACTTCTTTCACATCACAAGTACCATCACAAACCTGGTGAGAAACCACTTCCAAGATCTGCAATTCTGTGTCAAAACAACGGAATATACAACATCATGGCAATCTTTGGAAGTGGGAATAATGGCTGGATGCATCATTTCCCCACTAGCCTTCACCATGGCAATGGAAGTGATAATTCGAGCGTCCAAATGGGTTGTGGGTGGAGAACGTCTGAAGTGTGGACAGCATCTACCTCCCATTCGCGCTTACATGGATGACATGACCACCTGGACCTCAACCGTTGCATGCACCAAACATCTGCTAGGAAAGCTTCATGCCAACATCACATGGGCACTGATGAAGTTCAAGCCAAGCAAATCCAGGAGCATATCCATCGTCAAGGGGAAACTCACAGACCAGAGGTTCCACATCAAGGACACACCCATCCTGTTGGTATCTGAACTGCCAGTCAAGAGCCTAGGGCGATTGTACAACGCACATCTCAAAGACTCAGACCAGAGTGATAAGCTGAGGGAAGAAACCATCAAAGGCCTCGTCAGCATAGACAAGACCTTGCTTCCTGGCAAGTTGAAACTGTGGTGCCTGCAGTTTGAATTGCTCCCCCGCCTGATGTGGCCTCTAACAGTTTATGAGATCCCCATGACCAAAGTCGAGAAGCTGGAGAGAACAGTAAGTTCATACATCAAGAAGTGGCTTGGCCTCCTGTGTTGCCTCAATAACATCGGCTTGTATGGACATGGTGCCCTGGAACTGCCCATCTCTAGCCTCACAGAGGAGTGCACCAAGGTGAGGCTGAACATGACCCTGACTGAGTCGCAAGATGAGGTGATCCGTGCAGCTGCTCCCAGACTGGCAACTGGGAGGAAATGGATCCCATCTGAGGCTGTACAGCAAGCCAAATCTGCTCTCAGGCATGGAGACATTGTGGGACAGGTGCAGCATGGAAGAGGTGGGTTTTGGACTTGGGACAAGTCAACCCACATGGCACAAAGCAACATCAACCCAGAGGAGAAAGCTGGTGATTGCTCGGGTTCGGCAACAAGAGGAGGCAAACAGATGCACGACAGCAGTGGCACAGTCCAAACAGGGACAGTGGACCAGCTGGGAAAACCTGGCGCATCGTAAGCTCACATGGAAGGATCTTTAGGAAATGGAAGGAAGCCAAATCAGCTTCATCATCAGAGCCACCTATGATGTTCTTCCCACACCCAAAAACCGAAACCAATGGTTTGGAGAAGATCCTTCTTGTGCACTCTGTCAAACACCTGCAACACTCAGTCACATCCTCACCGGCTGTAAAACCAGTTTGTCCTAAGGCCGCTACACCTGGAGACACAACCAGGTCCTAAGACAACTGGCAATCACTCTGGAAGGAAGGAGAACAACCAACAATGCCCTCCCTCCCCCAATGCCTAGATGCTCAAACACCACCCCATTCGTAAGAGCAGGACAACTGCCGGCAAAACCATCTGCAAGAGTGGAGGCAAGCCTTCTAGACTCTGCCCGGGACTGGAGGATGCAGGTTGACCTAGACCAGAAATTCATCTTTCCGCCTGAGATCCTTCCAACTAGCCTCAGGCCGGACCTGGTCTTGTGGTCAACCACCCAGAAGGTTGTGTTCATCATCTAACTAACTGTACCATGGGAGGCAGCAGTTGGTGAAGCATATGAGCGCAAACGACTGAAGTATGCAGACATAGCAGCTGAGGCAGAGCAACGCGGCTGGAGTGCCCGGGTGCTTCCGGTTAAGGTCGGGTGTAGAGGCATCGTTGCCACGTCCACAACCAAGCTTCTGAAGAGAATGGGAGTACAAGGACAGGCCTTCTGACGAGCCATCAAATCACTATCAGAGGCTGCCGAACGAAGCAACAGATGGCTCTGGATCAAGAGAAAGGACCCCACCTGGGCTGCAAAATGACCACCTGGGGGTAAAAGCAGAGGGGGGCACACCTGGGATGCCAGGTGTCGCCGTTGAGCGCCCTGGAGGCGTCGTGGACCTATCAACGAAACACCAGTGAAGGTGGATGCCCACCTGAAGACCCCAGTGAAGCATTTACCCCCCCCCCCCCCCCCCCACTCAATTCCAAGTGCTGATCAATCCAAGGGATTGTACTAACTAGTCCTATGAGCTCAACCAATTATTTGACAAATGAAATACAGTTGGAGACATTTATTTATTTGTTTATTTGTTTGTTTGTTTATTCATACTACCATATTTACACTAACCTTGAGGGCCTTGGCTCTGGTGGACTTTTTGGCAGGGAGGAGTCAACAACTCTTCTTTCATCTTGCTACATATAATGTAACTGAAGAAGGTTTAAACTAATATAACCGTGTGTGTGTGTGTGTGTGTGTGTGTGTGTGTGTGTGTGTGTGTGTGTCTGTGTGTGTGTGTCTGTGTGGATGGGTGTGTCTGTGTGTCTGTGTGTGTGGATGGGTGTGTGTCTGTGTGTCTGTGTGAATAAAATGTCCACCCTGTCAGGTCCAAGTGCACGACAGGGTGGACATTATCTGACAACGACAGGGTGGACATTTTTCCTTTCACTTAGCATTAGCTGTGCATTATATTGTAACTAGCTAGCTAGCTTAGCCTGATTCTTGAAGAGAACTTGCTAGAGTAAAACTTGTATATTTTGAAAATACTGCATTCTAATCACTTCTGGCCTATTTAATGCTGACAGAGTGGACGTACCGAGCTTGGCCAAACCACGTTTGTGAACTTAAACACGCAAAACTTGCCAATAGAAAGTCAGCTACTCACTTGCTGCAGCTCTAGATTTTCCTGCCTTTTGGAGAGATGAGAGAAACTGTTGGTGTGATGTCACTGTAGTTGATGTCCTTTCTTAAAGAGACGGATCCCCCCACACGACAGGGTGGACATTCATTTCAAGGACATATGCAAACTCATTTTTAAAATAAACTAAGAAATATGATTTTTATTTTTTATTTCTTAAGACACTTAATTTATGTAATATGTTAATGAACTAAGAATAATATATACTTTTTTTTTTCAAAGACATGTATTGACTTTATTCTACTCATCTTGGAAGTGAGTGAGCAGTGCAGGGGACATAGCAAAATGGCATGCATCCTCCAATAAAAAACTGAAAAAAATCTTTAAAATGTTTTTAGAGAAGAATAATAATGCTTTATTAAGCATGTAGAAACTTAGCCCAATACAGCAAACCCTTTCAAAGTAAATTTCATATTAAATTAACATGTCAACTAAGCTATTCATGTACAGGACACCAAAAGGCACAGTTCAGTGATAGATGTTCCTCTCCTCGACTTCTTTTGGATGGGTTAGGGACGGAGGTTTCCTTGAGCAGTTTGTCTCCTGTTCCCCTTGTTGAAGAATTTCCTCTCAACCTCAGCGCACTACTTCTAAAAGATTTCTGTGGCCCCTGTAGCTTCCTCTCTTGGGCCTCTTTCCTCTCCTGGTCAGCCATCTTTAAGACCCCCTTGTGCTTCATTTTGGCATAAAGCTCGCGTTCACTGACCTTGCAGAGCCTCTCTGTAATGCTTCACTTTCAGGCGCTTCCTCTCCTCCTCCTCTTTCTCTTTGGTGATGACCTTGCATTGCGCCTTTAACATCTCATCAAACTTGATCTTCAGCCGCCTGATTTCCATGACTTTTTGCTGCTCTTTGGAGCGATGCTCTTCCTCTCAGGCCGCATACATCAAAGCTGTCTCCTTTCTTTTTTTCTTAGCTAGCTCTCTCTCTTTTGTCCTCCATTCTCTGGCCCTTATTTCCTGGACTCTGCAGGCGTATTTCTCATCCTCCTCTGCCGTCTTGTCTCTGGGTTTCTTGTGCTGAGCCAGCAGTTTAGCTTTCTCCACTTCCTTTGCTTTTTTGATGCGCTTTTGCTCTTTGGCCCGCTCTTCCTCTTGCTTCAGTTTCTTTTCGTTATATTCTCTGTCTTTAATGTCAGCCAGCTTCTCCTCCTCCTTGCTCCACTCTTTGGCCAATATGATCTCAGTATTAACTCGATTAATCTCCTCCTGCAGTCGCCTCTGGTCCTCTTTTTTCTTCTAGTTGGCGTTGAGATCCTCCAGCTTTATTCTCTCCTGCTTTTCTCGAGCCCACTTTTTCTCTTCCTCCTCCCTCTCTTGCAGTTTTTTCTCCTCATGCCACTCAAGGATTTGATCATAAAGTTCCTCCATCCCTCTCCTTGGCTTCTGTCTGTGCAGCTCATCATCAGCAGCAGCTTCGATGTCCTCATCGTTCTTCTCACTCTTCATGGGAACCTGGGAGGCTGAGAGGATGTGCTGCCACTCAGGGGCAGACAGGTGAAGCACGTCTTGCAAGGGATCCTTCGATGGGACCCTGACTGTACGGACTTGGTCTCTGGTAATAATCCACCTGAATGGATCAGGTTGGTGCAGAGCTGGGTCAGCAAACAAGGTTTCCTCTACCTGAGAGGTGGGAGCCTTCATGTGGTACCTTCTTGTGAAGCTTTTTCCCTTGTTCATCGTGGAAAAATTTTGTCTGTAGAAAACTGGCAGATCAACACATCTGTTTGTAGTGAATCAGTATCAGTGTTTTGGCTTGCTGTTTCTTTTTTAAACTGTATTTTTTTTTTATTTTGTTATCTTCATTCACCCTGTTCTAGAAAACATTGCTGTAGGTGACTGCTGAAAAGCATGGTCTCTTCCAAACGACCGGTGTTTCCTTGGGTTCACTGCCAGGAATATGAACTTAAATCTGGGCAGAATGAATGAAAACACCGCTGGAGATCTCCAGCTTCTTCTTCAACTTCCACCTCCTCTTCAGATTCGGGGTCAAAAATATATGGTTTAACACCTGCCATTTTTAGCCTTTAGCAAAAGGTGACCAGACGTCCCTGATTTCTGGGGACAGTCCCCGAATTGGATGACCTGTCCTCGACAAAAGCTGTCCCCGAAAATGTCCCCGATTTAAGCGTTTCATGAATGAGAACAAAAATGTTGCGTGTGGGCTCGAACAACGGTTATTACAGGAGGTAGGAAGCACAAGTAAGCAGTCCTGAACAACAGTTCTTACGGGGGTTATTACAAGGGGCATGCGCTGCTACTAAATAGTACCGAGATTTTGTCTGTGACATCTGGGCACCTTACTTTAGCAAACATTAGCAAAATGGATAAACCGAAATCCGAACCTCCACTGCTGAGCCAATCAGAGCACAGCAGGCTTCACAGCAGCGATCCAATCAGAGCAAAGCTCATTACCATAAATGTTAATGAGCCAAAATCATGTGGTTTTCCTGTAAGGTTTTTTAGGCATACTAAAACAAACCATCAAATAACTTTTCAGCTAAAATGATTTTGCAAACATGATCAGAGGACATCAAGGATTATGAAAAAATGATAAAAATGGGTATGAAATTTTTGATGGCAGGTCCCCTTTAACAAGTACTGCTCTAAGGTGGCCACAGTCTTGATGCATCCTGGATAGGGTTGTGAGGCATCTAGTGTTATGATATAGCTCTGCATAAACCTGACCCTCCTATTTGACGACCAACTTTACCGTCTTTTCTTCTTCAAGGTTAACTAGGGCCCTGGTAGAGCACTGGGCGGGCCTGAGCCTCTTGCACCGCCCTGCCTTGCGACTGCCCTCCCTTGCGACTGCCTCCCCTTCGACCACCTCTGCTTGATAGTGCCTCCCCCAGCCAGAGCCCACATTTGGCCTTAATGTCCACTAGGGGGCAGGGACTGGATTTTTTAAATTTTCTAGCTACAGAGCCATTTTTGGGTCGATCCTAATGAAATTGATAATAAAAGGTCCTGACGGCCCTTGTGATAATTCCAACCTTTGAATCTTTCACATATTTTCAATATTCAGCTAGAGCAGCATTGGGTATGGCATACAGGATGCGTATTTGGAGCGTGGCAGCAGCGTAGTGCAGGCCCGGTCAGCTGGGCTTAGTATAGAGAAAACAACATGCTCATAAAAGGTTGTTTTTCCTGTCTGTGGTCTATTTCCTGCTAATTACCTCCGCCAAGGAGGTTATGTTTTCGGTAGCGTTGGTTTGTTTGTTTGTCTGTTAGCAACTTTACAGAGAAAGTAACAGACGGATTGACCTGAAATTTTCACCAGAGGTGTGCGTCAGCCCCAGAAGGATCCCATTAATTTTTGGTGGTGATCCAGACAAAATTCTGGATACTGTGATCCAGAACACACAAAAATAAAGGTGTCGTTGGAATTTTCAATGCTGAAAGATAACAAATGGGCGGCACAGTGGTGTAGATGGACACCACAGTGGTGTAGTGGTTAGCACTGTCGCCTCATAGCCAGAAGGTCCTGGGTTTGAATCCCGTTCAGAGCGTTTCTTGTTTTAGGAACATTATGAACAGTGAACTTACCAGTTTAAACACAAATAAAAGTTAATAAAAGACACGTAACAGTAAAAGTTTTGGTGTGAATCACAATATAAGGGGGGACATGAGCTGCTTGGCAGAGGTCTGCGCTCTCCGAGTGCTTTTCTAGTTTGGATATAATTCAGTAACTGTTGAGCCTTTACTATATGTGAAAAAGCAAAGTGGTTCTACAGTTCCAGTTTTTGCAGGTTTACTGGTGTTTAATAAAGTAAACTGTGTTACTTTATGCTGTGCTGTTACCTTCAGACTGAGTTACCAGTTAAAAGTCCCGTTGGGGTCCACATGGATCAGGGATTGACCATCGGATTGTTCTGTGTTACTGATAAATCCATAACCAGGAAGTATTTCTCATCTTCACAAACTGATACACAGTGGGGAGTTCACATACAGTGTTTTATTTTAAAATGTGGGAGCAGCAAAAATAGACTCTAACCTTTGCCATTTCGAACCAGCGCTTGCAAGGGAGAAAAACTAAGTAGGGAGTAAAACTTAGTGTCTAAGTGGAAATTTTTGGGAGGCAGAACAAACATCTTGGGCAGGGTCAGCAACCTGGAGGGGAGGAGTTATCACCGCCCATGACGTCATTGAAGGCGATAGTTTCAATTCACCTGTTTGAGCAGACATTTTCTGAAAGGTGGAACAAGCAAGAGAGGGAAATGATTGAATTTTCTCATTTGATGGGGTTGTAGACAGGGGATGCATATTATTGTTAGATTGTTAGACATGCACTGAAACTTTACACATTCCTGCGTGAGAATGTGCTTTAAACTCCTATATGATGCACATTTTCCTCACTCCCTCTTCCTCAGACCTAGCCTTTAAATAAGAGCACTCAGAGCAGGTTAGAGATCAAGACAGATAAGCCATGGCAACTCTGACTTCAGCCAAACCGGTCATGTCTCCATGGGTTTTGAGCCCAGGTGCATGAGTGCTACTGATGATTACCTCAACAGCCTTAATGTCATGCCATCCTCTCCACGCCCGCCACTCCAATCACCCAGCTTTCACTCTGAAGAAGCGGAGGGATGGTCTGCAGGATCAGGGCTAACAGCATAGTCCTCTAAAAACAGGAAAGTGGCCTTTAGATTGAGTGCAGGTTTCCTGGAGGACTAAGCTGTGTCGGAAATCAGCGCTTCTTGTTGGGTGCCAGCCAGGGGATGCAGAAAAACCGTCTTCCGACTCGCAAGTTCTGTCTCAGGAGAGGAAGTGAAGGTAGATCTAAACCGCAGGGCGCTGATGTGTCTCAAGCCCTGCTGGTTCCCATTCGTGAATATGAGCCATGTGGGAGCTGAACTCTAATTGGTATGCAGGTGATGCATGAGCTGAGCGTTACGGGGAATAGTTTCAGCAGGTGTGTGTGTGTGTGTGTGTGTGTGTGTGTGTGAGTTGGTAGTAGTGGGTGATTCGGAGGAGAGAACATTGCTCAATCATACCCCAGCACATGTAGAAAGACAGCAACAGGGAGCCTGGGAAACTGTGAGGGAAATCAGAGAAAAAAGAAAAAGCAGAAAGTCGGTAACACTGAATGGGGCCGAGAATGAGCATTACATTTTCTGCTCTATTGTACAGTAGATGTGTTTGAAAGCCAGGCAGGAGGCACAGCTACACGCATTTCTGCTCTCACTCCAACAGTTCCACATGTCAAGCCAAGTAATTGAACTTTCTTTGATTGGAGTTCACACCAACTGTACCAGGCAGTGGGTAAAACAGGATGATTATGTCGATAAAATAAAAAAAAGGAGAAATACAACATTAATACAACATTAGGAGAAGGGTTAATCATACACAAACTGTTAAAACAGTAATATACTGAATATGAGTAAACACATCAATAAATACAAAAATAAAACAAAAGTACAGAGACAGGCCACCGACTCAACTCAACCAGTAGATTCTCAGTACAGTTATACTGAACAATCATACAGTCAGTCATGAGAGACGGCAGGTTTTTAGGATCATCAAGACTCAACAACATTGTGCTTCCTGTTGTGTTGGTCATTCTACATCTTATATGTTGAATAAAGCTTATTTCCCTAAGACTGTATATAGAATGGACACAGTCTGCCTCTTCACTGGATAAAGCTACCGCAAGAACAGCACCCTCTGGTGACAGGCTGCAGTATAGGTCATAAATCCCGCCTCCTCCAGTAATCCCTATGGGGCTGTGGAGCTGTTAATTTCACATAATATAAATTTTTCTCCCCCCTGCTTGGAATGTAGACATGTAGTTACTGTAAGATTAGTTTGTGATCAAGTCCTCTTTTTTTCTGTACAGCTCCATTTTAAAAGTTATTAGGGGGTTCATGGTTTCACCCAGGGGATACCCTGTTTCAGCCGCGCTTCATCACAGTGACTCTCGGCGACTCTCCTGCCTAATATATACAATGCTACTGCTAAAGATGTGGTTCCAGGAAGTGGAGAAAATCCTGGAAATACTCAGAGTGATTCGGCTTCAAATTCGTATAGTGATGGAAGGCAGAGCTAAGTTGTCCATAGCATATACAGTCTATGATATTTCCCCTAAACAACTCTCACTTTCACCACATCATTGGCAGCTCTGATCAATGAGACACAAAGTCTGTCGCATGAGGACGTTGCAGCAGGGGGAGGAGCCGGAGGAGGCGGGTCTGTGTATACGTGTGTTTGAAAAGCCAAAGGACAGATAGGTCGTGAACAGAGAGAGGCTGGAGTAATCACAAGTGTTCACCAATCAGTGACTACAAGGCTTGAAAGTGAAAGACATTATTACCATTCATGAAATGAAACAAGTCCAAGGTTTTATGCTTTAATATAACGATTAATAAAAGACAAAAGTTTTTTAGATCTGTGACAAAATATGAGCAGTAAAACAGCTCAAATTCTGCAATTTCTTCTATAAAGTACAAAAATGCTTTACTACAACTTACTGAGTGTGCTACTTCACTCAAACCGTGCATGCATTACTTATATATGGCAGAATAGCTGTTGTAAAAGCTCCCTGCCTTTCCACATGCATACATGTAACCTAAGCCTGCAGTGGGGAGAGGACACCTCTTTAGTACCCCTGCATTCCTAATGTACCACCAAGGCCACATTCCCCCTGGAAGCCAAAGTTCCTGTCCAGTGGGCTCTATGCA